CCTCTCAATATCTGCTTTGTCCATTTCGGAGTTCTGCTGCTGTAACAACAAGGTACAACTGCTGTATCTTCTTGGTGAGCCACCCTTTCATTGTCAGACACGGTCCTCCTCCGTGTCCCGTGGTGGCGCTCCGTCTTGGGTCTGTTTGTCCGGTGTCTGTGCAGCCCCTGCCACTCTCCTTCACCTACTGTTTACGTGGACTCTCTTCCCATTCTTTCACCTTCAACCTATTTGGGTCTGTGGGTCCAAAGCGAGACTTTCGTAGGCAGTATATATTTGAGTCATGTTTTTCTGTTTGTTTTTACTTCATTCTGCCAGTCTCTGACGTTTGATTGATGGGTTTAATCCATTTATATGTAAAGATTAATAATCCATTTACATTATTGTCAAAGCCCCACTTACTTTTGCTATTGTGCTCTTTCTGCTTGTTTCTTATTTGTGTCTCAAATTGTCAAATACTGTCTTCTTCTGCATTTGATTACTCTCTTTCTAATGTGCCATTTTGATTCCCTCCTTGGTTCTTCTTTCTTGGTGTATTTTTCAGTTATTTTTCTTGTGGTTAACCTAAGTAGCACAGTAACATCTTAAATGTACACCACGCTAGCTTGACCTAATACCTGCGCAGCGTCAGGGGCACACAAGCCCTCGGCATCTGCACCGCACAACTCTGACTCCCCCTTCACGCGCTCCTGCCACGAACTGCATCTTTAAACCCGTGTGCCCATAACATGGGTTTGTAATAGTTTTGTTAGCCATTTGCCTTTTAAATGATGTGAGACACACAAAGAGCTACAATCAAAAGTACAATAGTGCTGTTTTTTCTATCCACCTATGTAATTACCTTTGTCAGAGCTCTGTATTGTGTTTATCGAGGAATGTCTTAATTTCTCCTTCATTTTTGAGGAACAGTTTTGCCACATATAGATTTTTTCATTGGAGGTCTTCCCCCCAGTACTTTAAATACGTTTTCCTGCTATCTTCTGGCCTCCATGTTTTTGAGACGAAATCGGCTGTTAATTCACTGAGCATGACTTGCACCGGACGAGTCACTTGTCTTGCTCTTTCAAGATGCTCTTTTTGTGTTTGGTTTTTAAAAGACTTTTTTTTATTGTGGTAAAATAAACATAACATAAAATTTACTGTTTTCACCTTTTTTTTTCAAATTGAAATATCCTTGACCTATAATGATGTGTAAGTTGAAGGTGTATGCCATAGTGATCTGGTACCTGTGTGCGTATACGCGTGCTGCAACGTGACTGCCATGGTAGCAGTAGCTAATACCTGTAGGGCGTCGTACCCCAGCCATTTCTAAGTGTACAGCTCCCTGGCATTGAGTGCATTCACACTGCTGTGCCTCCGTCGCCATCATCCTTCTCCAGAATCCTTTTCATCTTGCAAAACTGAA